GACCTCCATTATTTGAATGTCAGCAGACAGCAAGAAGCCTCCCAGATCTCCAGATGCATTTGAGATATCAAAAAAGTACTCCAGGGTGTTGTTCAGCATGGGGGTGAGTAGAAAATGAAGGCTAATCATGTTTTGGGTGTACTATTCCTTTAAGAAATGGAAATGTCATGAAAGGTTTTTTTCACACTCTGTGCATACAAAATGACAAAAAAGTTAAGTCTAAGTCTAAAACAAGAGACTGCTTTGTCACCTACAGGTGGTTACGGCTCTTCTACGATGGCGATAAAAAGAGACCCTATGAACATCATGCAGTCGGGCACCGAGTTCCCTCTCATTCTGGGAAGAGACGTGTCTGGTGTCATCATGGAGTGTGGCCTGGATGTGAAGTACTTCAAAGAGAGGGATGAGGTAGAAGAAAGTACTAAAGCACAGAAACCATTGTTTATGAGAGTCGACTTGGTAGTCATTGTTGTATTTTAAAACATCTTATCAATAGTTTCCAAATTCTATAAGAAGCAGCTGTAACTCACATGTTTATAGGTTATTCTATGTGATAAATAGCAGCAATGTAACATCAGTTCTGATACGTTGACTAGTTTTTCCTTTAAGGTTGTGACTTTTATTTGTTTCACGCTGTAGCTTTGAATATTTTTGCCATCAGCATTGTAAACATGAGGCAACATTTTCAGAAACTTTACCTCTTTTTTTTACAAGTCTGTGGTTATTTGAAAAAGTTTCATCTCTACTAGGTCAGCTTCTGCTTTTCTCACCATAATTCTATCTGACCTTTTTGCTCAGAGTGTTTCTGTGTGAAACATTGCTGTGTAAACTTCTCTTGCAATTTAAGTAATATTGAAAAGTCCTTGACTAATAGTTCTCTTGGCTGCTCAAATGACCTGCAACGGTTTTCTGTGGACTTCGGGTGCTTTCTCACATACTACTCTAGGAAATCATCTTTAAGGAATCATCAAATCGCTAATAAGCTTGTAAAAAAAAAAAAAAAAAAAAAAAGAGAGAGAAATCAACCAGTACTACCATGAAAGCTTATAAGAAAACCTAGCTGTTAAAGTATAAACAAGTGTTATTATTCTCCATTGTTGGTGTGTTTCTCCTTCAGGTGTGGGCAGCGATCCCGCCGTGGAAGCAGGGCAGTTTGGCCGAGTTTGTGGTTCTAAGCGCCAATGAGGTATGTATTTAATTCCTGAAGCTTTCTTGGTATAGATATATCAACAAAGAGTTAAGCTTTTCTGATTATATTGGTTAGTTTAGTGATGGTGAAGAGTCTCAGTCATCCATGTCATACATTAACCTGACTCTGCCAGATGGATTTGCTGGATTTGCTGGGAAGGGCCGAAAATACTGGTTAGCTGATTGGCCTATGTTGGTGATAGACGGGCCAAATAAACCAATCAGATCAACAAAGCATATGACGTACTTGCCGAAACCAGTCGGGAGAAGAGCAAAAACATCTTTTCCTCTGAGAAAAGCCTCCAGAGCAGTGTTTTGCTCTTCTTTCAGTGAAGAAATACTCTGTAATTCCGATAAAACTTGCTCGATAGCCAAGCTAACACTAGTTTCATCGGCTGAAGCCGCCATGTTCTTTAGACTGAACTGTCGCGCTTCTCGTTGAGTCACACCTCAACCCACCTCAAAGCCAACACTGATTGGACGTTCGTTTGGTGAACTGCTCCAAATTTTCTTTAACGGAGAGTCTCCAGACTGATCTGCGAGTGAAACCTTAAAAGCTCGCGAGATCAGGATGGTCTCACGAGGCTAGTCATACATAGCCTGGGTCCCATTCCGAGCTTAGTCCTGCCCACAACGTTTGAGGTCGGGAAGTTCGGTCTGGCATTGCTCAATAGTAGCGCGAGTATGCTCGCACAATATCTGGCGGGCCAATCAAATTGTCAGGGCGGGCTTTATACGATGATGGACAGATGATCAACAGTAACGTAATCAACCACGTCACCAATGCGCGCTTGTGTGACAACAATGGCTGCCGCTGGAGAGTTGAGGTGTGTAGATTCTGCTATTAGGTCTGTTCTAGAAGATGTCGACAGCAAATTAATTTGAAAAGAGGAACAGAGAAACGCGATCAAGGCTCATCTTCTTATTCTAGGCGTGCAACTGCACGCTTTGATTTTTGTTGACAACAACTATGCGTCGCTTAACATACGTCACGCACTCCGTTGCTCTTATTGGTTGTAGGTCTATCCAATTGAGTGCAGAGGCATTTTTTTTCCTGGTTCGTTCGAAACACGCCCCATAATCACAGCTCTATGGAGCAGTATCAGACTCATATTCTGACTAGAATTGAGTAGGACTACGTCAGGCTAAGTCATATATAGTCATTCCAAAAAATTAAAAAAAGCCAATCAAAATGACCCCTTAGTAACAAGGAGTCATTGTGGTCTTTATTAGCCTGCAATACCCGATACTGGCCTATGCCTCTGAAAAGGAGTCTTTATGGTTATTGTTGGCTTACCTGGTTAGCCAGGTCTGTTTTTTTTTTCTTCACTTTTTTGGAGTTAGTTTAGTAACTTATTGGTTTCCTATTTGACTCAGTAATAACATTTTTTTGTGGAAGTCAGTATAAATGAACTGTAAAGCATAGCTATTTCATCATTATAGTCTGACTAAGGGAAGAGTAACTGAAACAACGGTTCCCGTGTGTTCTGTTCAGATATCCCACAAACCAAAGTCGATGAGTCACACCGAGGCAGCAGCCATACCCTACGTGGCGACCACTGCTTGGTCTGCGCTGGTGAACACAGGTGGCCTCCGTAAGGACAACTGCGTCAAAAAACGGTGAGAGAAACACAGATCACCTTCAAACCCAAGCCTGGTTGCTCCTGTGATGGGAAAATATATTGGCGGGTCGGCTTGGTAAAACTCACTGTCGTTTAAACACCAGTTCTAATGAGATAAGCTGCAAATTTAGATTTATTCAGTATTTTCAACTGAATATTTTTTTTTCTGCTCTCCATCTTTGCAGAGTTTTGATCCTTGGGGGATCTGGGGGAGTTGGAACATTTGCAATTCAGGTGTGAATCTGTTCATAGATGAACACAGTAACTTTAACACTCCCAGTGTCTAGTAGAGGATATTTTATAGGTATATAAATGATACAGCCTTTTTCTCATCAGTTAATCACATATATTTCCAAAACAGGTATTTTCTTAGTTTGATTTCTTTGCATTATTTTCATACATTTTTCATTGTGGAAATACCAAAAGTGTTTGATTAGGTATTATATAAAGGTGTATATAGATGGGCTGTGGATCAGTAGAAAGAGGTTTAGGTTTGATTCCAGTTTCCTTCAGAGCAGTGGGACTTGGCAAAGACCTTGGTCCCACGTTGCCTACTAATCTGCATATCAGTGAATAATTCTCTGAATGTTGATAACAATAGCTGGGTGAATAAAGCTCCAGTGTATTAGCACTTTTTGAATGAGTGGGAAAGCCCTGCTAGTTCAATGATGTTTGAAGCTTAAACTCTCTTAAACTTTAGATGCTGAAGGCATGGGGAGCTCATGTAACAGTCACCTGCTCCCACAATGCCGAGCGGTTCGTCAGAGACCTTGGAGCAGACCATGTGGTCGACTACACAGCTGGACCTGTTGAAGAACCGCTAAGACTTCTCGAGAAGCAAGTGCTTTTATTTATTTTTTATTTTTTAAACCAAATTTGACTTTCTTTTGCTGCGTTCACACCTAACACACTTTGAGTAGCAGAACCAGCCATTTTACATGCAAAGTCAATGGTTGACGTGCATCAAAATGTCCTGCAGCGCTTCTCAAGCAGCAGAAGCAACACCTCAGGAGCTTCTGAGCATCTGAGGCGCATGCCACGCTTCAGAAGCAGCACATGCTGGTGTTGTAAATTTTAATTTTTGCTGAAAATCAGAGAAGCTGATCTGGGAGCTGGCAGGGAGACAGACACAGCACTGCTGATGCAGAACACTATGATTCAATTCAGTTTATTTATATAGCGCCAATTCACAGCACGTCATCTCAAGGCACTTTACAGTTCACCTGATCATACAGTCAAATTGATTCAAAGTTTTTATCTAAGGAAAACCAGTTGATTGCATCAACTTGTTTACTTGAATGCTGTTTCTCACACTAAGCATGCTTGTGGCCACAGTGGAGAGGAAAATCTCCCCTTTAACAGGAAGAAACCTCTAGCAGAACCAGGCTCAGTGTGAGCGGCCATCTGCTGGTAGCTCCTCCCATCGCGCATCAGTTCTGACTCTAGCTTCACATCAGAACTCAATTTTGGACAAGCATCAAAAAGGAAGCAGGAGGCACTTCTTCGATGCCCAAAGTGCATCCGATGTGAACGTAGCATTACACCTTGAATTAGTTCTAACCAAATACTTATGAGTGGTCATCAGTCATTGTTTCTGTTTTTGTCTCTTGCACACTTAGATTTGACCTGATCCTTGATAATATTGGGGGGGACACTGAGCGGTGGGCCCTTGGCCTGCTTAAGCCATGGACCGGAGCCAAATATGTCACCCTTGTAACACCTTTCCTGCTAAACACAGACCGGCTGGGTATAGCTGATGGCATGATGAAGACTGCTGCTACAGTCGCCACCAAAGCCATAAAGGTATTTCTCATCCAATGATGGTATGTTTAAAATGTGTTGGTCATTAAATACAAACATTACTATTGTCTGTGGCAAAAAAAAAAATATATATATATATATTATATTTATTTATTTGAATATGTCTTACATCATCTTAGTCATGGCAACCACAGAACAGGTTAAATTGGCAGAAATCTGTGTCATTTCTGTGACTCCACTTCAAAAAAGTGAGCAAAATCTTGTTGCCTGCCAATTTAAGCCTGTTTTATGGTTTAAGCCGGGACATTACGTTGCTAAATCAGGATTGGTAGATTGCTGCTACGAATTGTTGCTTACATCCTGCTTGTCAGAAAGCTACCGGTACATGCAGCCATGCAAACATTGAAAAAGAAGTCAGTGGATGTTAACCTATGCCAAGAATCACCTTACAGTGTGTGGAAAAGCGCCTCAGTTTGTTCTCACATTAAAGAGGAAGCAACAGTTTTATATTCATGCTTTCTTGTCTATGTGTTGTTATCATTGTGATTATTCACACATTTTTTAACAACTAAAAATCTTTAAATGTACTAAGACTGGTGCAAATCCAGATAGGCCCACCACAGATGTATCCTGTCTATGTTCTCTGTGGTTAACTGTGCACAGTCTGCACCTCTGTGCATCACTTTACTTGTCTTTTTTTTTTAGCTCAGTTAAACAATCATCTCTTGAAATTAAACATGTGCTACTCAGTGATGGGAAGCAAAACAATAGTTTGACAATACAGTCAAAAGTATCATGATGCTAAAAATGGCTTCTTCATCTGGATGTTAGATGTTGATCTGCTGTTAATGGCATATTAAATGTATAATTCTTTGATTGAACTATTTCTTTATAATTAATTTAGTCAGTTTATTTATATAGCAACAATTCACAACTCATGTAATCTCAAGGCACTTTAGAGAGACAATCTGATCATATCATATAGTCAGATTGGTTAAGTTTTCTATCTACCACAATGTCCCCATTATGGGACAATAAATAGATTTTTAAATTTCTCCTATTTTTTCTCCTACCATGGCCTTTTACAAATGCAACATGTCAGATTCAACAGTGAAGTCCACCTAATGAGTGAGCATGGATTCCAGAGAAATTTAAATCTACGTAACGACCGACCCAATAATTCCGTGTATGGGTATGAATTCCCACGCCTCTGTGAATAAACATGCAGATGTTCATTCATAGAAATGGCATTGAAGATGAAGAAGAAAAAATTTTAAAGGTTTGCGGGTCAATGCACTCCTGACCTGACTGCAGCAGAATTTAAGGATCAGCAAAAAGCCAAGCAGTGAAATAATTAACAGTGCTATCTTGTTTCTCTTCAGATCGTATAAATCTTTTGCCTTTCGCTTAAGTTTTCTGTGGAGAACAAAAACAAGAGTTTATCCCTAGGGGGAGAGTGTGTCTAGTGGGTTAGAGAAGTGCGATTGTGCTCTAAGAAGGTCCCTGAGCAAGACCCTTAACCCCACAGTGCTCCCCTGGCGCCGCATGATGGCAGCCTGCTGCTCCCCAAGGGGATGGGTTAAATGCAGAGGTAAATGTCACCATTGTGAGATCAAGAAAGTTCAATCATTATTATTATTAAAAATAATATAAAAAGAAAATCTGAAAACGGTCAATAAAAACTACTGATGAAGGCAAGAGGTGCAACAATATGATGTAAATGCTGTACCAACACGACAACTCCACAGACACACCTGTACTGTACAACTTCAGACCAAGTCTGCCATTCCTTCATCATCTCTCTTACAATGCATAAACATATATGAAATGTTGGCGATGAAACTCTAATTTAATGAAGTCAGAGAGACCCAAACCTAAATATTCCACATTTAATGTAATAACAAAGCTAAGGAGCTGCGATCGTTTTTCTCTTCTGGAGGTTATTTTAAAAGTAGATTGATTTCTAACTCTCCTTTATTTTCACAAAATGATAACAAAATGTAACCAGTGTCCATGGATACCGACATGCCATCTGCAATTATTGACTAATAGAATCAAATTTTCATTCAAAATTACAGAGTTAGACAGGAGGTGTGAAAAGGTACATGGGGTATATACATAGCTTCCACACACACACACACACACATATATATATATATATATATATGTTTGGATAACAGCTGACTGATTGAGCAAGAATCCTACATCTATTCTGCAGCGCTCGTATAATTTATTTGTACCTGACAGAAGATTACAAATAGGAGAACAATGGTGAATCTGACATTTTAAACATTGTATTTTATTTTAATAATTCTTGACTATTACATCTATTATAAGGATTTCAATCATTTTTAAAATCTTTTGCAGCATTTAGTCAAAGGAGTTCACTACCGCTGGGGTTTCTTTGCGCCGAGCGGCCCAGCATTGGATGAGATTAGAGAAATGGTGGATGCAGGACAGGTGTGGTGCCATTTTATTAATTAACCCAAGTTTTACAAGCAGGAAGACGCATTCATTCAAACATTCATGTTTTCTGTTCTCCTGTTAGATCCGTGCCGTGGTGGAGGAGACATTCAGCTTCTCCCAGGTACCTCAGGCCTTCGAGAAGGTGGAGAAGGGCCACGCCCGAGGAAAGACAGTGGTGGAAATCAGCAAAGGCGGATGTTGATGTCTAGCACAGACTCTGGACATAATATGCCTGTGTTTGCACAATGTGACACAAAGTACTTCAAAATGAGAGCAATGCAACAGCCCACGCTACCGAGCAGAGCAAAAGACAAGAAAGGAATCTTAAATGAGGTTCCTGCAACTGCAACGACTTTTTCTACTTAAAAAATGGCCTCGGATGCAGAACAGCTGCAGTTACAGTATTTGCTTCCAATATGCTGGGTATATTTAAATAATTTGTTTGAAATAAAAAAAATAAAATAAAATAAAAAAAGCTTCTTTAGGTCATTTAATCTTGATGGTTTTATCAAGGTTCTCTTAAATAATCAAAGAAATATTCTCACATCATTTTTCATGACAAGTAATACCTACAGAAAGTGTTTCTAGTTTCATTTCTCCAATCACTGTCATGCAGTTCTTTGCTACTGCATGAGAGTCATGTTACATGGTAACAAACTGAATGATTTTTCTTGTCTTTATTTAAAAAAAGGTAAAATATCTAAAAGGGTATGAATACTTTTTCTAGCTGCACTTTAGAATGGGGGCAGATATCCGAACAAAGTAATCATGCAGCTAATGATATACCTCAATGGATCCTCCTGCTGCTTTCGCTGCTGCTTTATTATTTTTTTTAAGTTGAAACATTGTCGTCATCTTCCCATTCATTTGGGTAAGCATTCCCAGCAGAGACTCTCAGACTTCCCTTTCCTCAGACACCTGGGCCCAAAGTTCTCCCAGATCAGCAGAGAGACATAGTTCTTCCATTGTGTCCTGGTTCGTCTCCTGTGCCTCCTCCTGGTGGGACGGGCCTTAAACACCTCCCGAGGGAGGTGTCAAGCGTCCTACAAAGATGTCAGAGCCCAGTGAACCTCACCAGTGGATGCTGTAGGTCTCAACAGGAGGGAGCCAGCGAACCAGTGAGTCAGCCACTATAGCCTGAAGATGTCCATCGCTCTTAGGTACTCAGGGCAGATCTCGTCCACCATGAAGCCTTGCCACCCTTGAGTTTTTTTGGCCACCCTGTTCGAGAGCCAAGCCTTTTCCCAAGGAGCTGGGTTCTAGAGTCCAGGCTGTGTGGAAGCCTGATTACTTCCAGTCAGTTTGCTCCCCCTCCTGCACAGGCTCCTTCCTTGCCAGTGAGGTGACATTCCACATCCCCAGAGCCAGTTTAAGCTTCCATAGATCGGGGCACCAGTCCCTGATTGTTCCCCCTGCAGGTGGTGCAGGTTTTCTCATTGCCTAAACATCATATCAGCAGAGCTTTACAGTTTCAACTTTTTTTTTTTTTAACCACATCTTCTTTTTTCCCCTTTAAATAATGTGACACTGAATGAATTAATGAATCAATCAATTTGATTTTTAATCATTACCTTTAATCCCAAGATCTTGGTGTATTTTTTTGTTTTCCTCATCAGGCTGAATATTTTGACAAAACGTCTTTTCAGCCAAACTTTTCTAAGATCACAAAAAATGAGAAAAAGACAAGATACAAGGAAAAAAATATGAGCGGGGCAGAAAGGAAGGATGCAAGGAAAGATGAGGGAGGAAATGGAGGAGCAAAAGTACCTCCGGCAAAGGAGAGAAGCAATAAAAGAAGAAAGGTAGGAGGAAGTAAAGGTGGGTGGGCTGAAGAAAGAACTGGGGCAAAAGAAATAGCTAAGGAAGTACAACAAGACGGAAGGCATTGATGGTAGAAAGTGGGTAAAAAATGAACACGAGTAAGGGAAACAGTTTGGAAGCTATGAATGAGTTTATTAACATTCTTCCATCATCTACTCAAAATTCCTCGACTTTTACAAACTGCAACCTGTGTCGCTGTTAAAATTAGTGACATCTTAGCCATTGGAGTTAAAGCTTCTAATTTAATATCAGACTTTTAAGCTTTAAGTGAGATTTTGGAGAAAATGTTACTAAAATTAGAATAATTAATGAATGGTAGAGGATTCCCCCCATTTTTACTCATGTAAAAATAGATTTCCTCACTTTATTTCTGAAAACATTCCCTGAAAAAGCAAGTATTCAAGAAGATCTCAATGAGCACAGATCCAAGAAAACAGAAAAATCATATCTTTATTCAATTCTATCATCCTGTAACGCCAAATGTTTTCTCACATATTTACAACAACTACAGGACAACATTCTGAGTGGAATTCTGTTACAATCTCAAATCAACCTGTACATTTAAAGCAAATTATGTACAATAGAACAAAGAGGCACAGTTTGTCAAAATCTGGAGAGTTCTAGAAATATATAAAAATTTTACAAAAGATCACTTTAATGTACACAAGGAAAACCTTTCTGGAGTGTTAGCATGTCGAAACATCTGTGACATAAAAATAAATTCACATGAAAATGAGAGGTTGTTGAAAAAATGTTATAAAAACACCAGAATATGATGAAGGTATGCAGCATTGAAACAGGGCAGGGTTTTCCTTACATCTTTTTGTACAAAGTGATTTTGCAGATGGCTAAAAAAGGCAACTTTTTATGCAATTCCTCTTTGGAAACAGTAACCAGCTCATCTACAAGCAAGAAAAAGTGAAAATATCTGGGACATGTGCATAAAATCAGTTTTTAAAAGTTTTTTTTTTTTTAGACCTCATCGGATCACAGGATCTCTAAAGTCCACCTCTGGATCATCTTCCTTTCATCAAAGTTGTTCAGGATGATCTGGTTCTTGTCGTACTGATGACCGCCTGGAAGAGATATTTTGTCTGTTAAAATACAACCATGCTTTCAAAAACCTTGCAATGGTTTATTGCTTAAAGTTGCCATCTAATGGTGCCATTTATTCGATTAGTCAAAGCTACATGGTAGAGTACATGTAGTTGGTGCACCACTGTTTTTTACACCAGCAGGTGGAGCTGTTGGATAACAACTTGAATCACCTCTAGGAGCTGGACAGCACACAGATAAACTGATAAACTTATTCTCAGTGAAACCTTTGCATATTTTTGTCATAAATTACAAATTATAATCATTTATTGAAGAGTGAAAAATATTACTATAACTACCAAAGTTATAAATCAGGGCCTGAAACCTGTAAAAGAGCCATTTTGCTTTCAGTCCGGCTGAGTAAAAGTCGTTTACAGCCTTAAATAAAATATAACTTTTAAATGAAAGACAAGTTATCCATTTTGTTGAATTTCTGCTATAGCAAATCTGTTTCCATAAAAAAAAACACAATAATGGTGAAGAGTAAATTTTTTGTCTATAGGATACCATATTTTCTGGAATATGAGCCGCTCTTTTTTTCCCCCAAGCTTGAGGCACAGCTTATGTGAAGGTGAGGCTTTTCTGTGGATTTTTTCCTAACAGCAAGGTGGCAGAAGTCAAAGTAAAAAATCAAAAAAGAAGTGGCTGACTTTTATTTAGCTAAAGCACAGGCTGGCTGCAGGCACTACGGAGAACAAATGTCTTTCATTCACACATTCTAACATTTATTTGCCGCATTAAAGCTGTTGAATCAATGAAGAAAAGGCACAACTCCTGCAGAGCTAAAGTAAAAAGAGCTAACAAAGCTCCATCTTTCATTAGAAGTTCTCGTCACTACCCGATCCGTGCCGGAAGCACAATCCGTTCTGCGCATTCGCCATCAGCTCATTTGCGCATCCACATATACATCCGGGTCGCCCTCGATTTTATTTTGTCAAAAAGACTTAAACTTCGTTTTCCCTCTCCAAAAATAGTAAATGTACTAAAATATAATGTGTTAAAGGTTAATAATGTATTTCCTGCGAAGATAAATGCCTTAAAATTCTTTTCTGTTTTATCACTCCTTTCTGCGTGATCTGCATCGGAAATGGGATCCTACGCTACTTCCGCGGCTGACTTTTTCGGCTTTGGATTTAAACATAGATCTAGTCTTTTTGAGTTTTATGTTTTTGTTTGTTTTAACCTTATGCTATATAGTGCGTAATCTAAAGAAAGAAAAAAACTAAAATGCAGATAAACATGGTTTAATCATATTTTTTCGGACTGCTCTGAGCATGTCTGATGATGACATCAGAGAAGCAGTTTAATGAAGAAAATGTAAAAAGCATAAAAATTGTCTCACAAAAGTCATAAAATATATTTTTTTAAAGATGTGTATTAGCATTCTTTAGTGAGTTTAGGATAGAGATAAGTAATTTTAATAACATCATTACATTATGTATGGAAAGCTGGATGTATATCTGTTCTCGCATGTTCAGAATGGATCGTGCTTCCGGGACGGATCGGGTAGTGACAAAGCTAATGAGAACTAGCGTTCTTCTTCATCCCTACTCCTGGGGCGAGCTCCCCCTACAGGTTTGGTGGGGGACCGTTTAGTAGATATCAGTGGCTTATAGCCCTTTGTAAATTTCCAGTTTTCAAAAAAACTTTTTGGGTGCATTTTAGAGTCCAGAAGATATGGTATTATATGATGTTAAAAAATATTTTTTAACTATTTCCAAGCTAGGGATGAGAACAGAAGATCTACAAACATATATTTTATTCTTTTAATTTCATTCTGTTGGGGAAAATCTCTATATTTTAAAAAAAAGACTGGTATTTGTTATTATACTACATTACGTAGTTCTTTAAATTATTTTAGCCCAATACAAAGAGCGAATGTAGAGATTAAAATAAGCCACTTGATGCCTGTTTTATATGGATCTGTTTAATCACTCAGTAAAGACGGAAGTGTCTGACCTTTTATTTCCAGGATGAGATTTGCATCAAGCTTGGTGCGAACTAATCCATCCCGTGTGACACTCCACTGCTGGCTCTCTTTGCCTGGCTCTGGAGAAATGCAAAGTCGGCTACCTGCCATCACCATGCTGCCTGAAATATCCAGGAAGTATTCCTCTAGCAACTGGAGACAAAAAAGAGCAGATTAAAAATTAGATGCAATGTAGCAAAAAAAAGAGAAGATAAGGATTGATTAGACTTCTGGAGGACATAGGGTCCCCCTTTTTCATCATTCTGCTTCATTCTATCTCTACAGGTGCTGGTCATAAAATTAGAATATCATGAAAAAGTAGATTGATTTCAGTAATTCCATTTAAAAAGTGAAACTTGTATATTATATTCATACATTACATACAAACTCATATATTTCAGATGTTTATTTTGTTTAATTTTGATGATTACAAATCATCAAAATTAAAC